AGTGTCAGCAAATTAATTTCTCACTTGTTAAATAACTTCATGATAAACAGAAAAATACTTCCCTATGTGTATTAAAATGTTTTATTATATTAACATATTCACATATTTATATATTAAGATACTTTAGTTGATACTCGCGTGGTGTTGCAAGAATATTTTGGCTTGATGGATTCCTGTCTCATAAGCTCCGTGTGTTGTCGAGTAGAAATCATCGTGCGTGGCTTCGCCGGCAAACAGTATGACTGGTAAATTCTGTCATATTAGCAAAAGAAATTTTTTAATAAATTAATATTATAGACAATAGATTCTGATTTTTTAAATTTGACTGCATAATATTACGTTATTTTAATAGCAGTAAAGTCTTAAAAAATCTATTATATAAAATTTTGATATCTTGGAATGATGGAAGCATAAAATTTCAAATTTAAGATTAAAAAGGTTTTGCATTTTGAAAGTGCTTTATCTTACCTTCTTCGTATTATTGTGCAATATCGTCGCCCAAACCGGTTCGGCTAACGTCCTAGGCAAAACGTCGTCGTCCTCACAGTTCTTCGTGATATGACTATAGCCGCCCCTCATGTACTTATTCCCGTGCCATTTCGTTCTGACGCATTTCTTCACCGGCGGAATATCGTGACACCGTAAATAATGCATCAACAGATTTGTGCAATCCTGTGCGATTATCCACTCCGATAAATCCTCGACGATACGCGCTCCTCGCCCGCCGACCCACACTACGAAAGTGGCCGGATGATTCGGCAGGACATCGAATCCCGTGATATCTTTGGTCCATTCTGGCAAGGATCGATGATCGTCTCTATGCCAGAGTAATTGAAAACCTTTCACGTCGGTTTGCCACCAGGGTTCGCCAAAGTCCAAAAAGATTTTGTTAATCGTTCCGAAACCGAGATCCTCGATAGCTACGCTCAAACGATTTGGTAATGGCGGCTGAAACATATTTCGGTAATTTTCCTTCAAATAACCGAGTGAACAGGTGACTATAACGGCGTCGGCGATAATCTGCGTCCCTTTGGAAGTCGTCACGATGACCAGAGAATCCTTACGAGACTCGACAGAATCCCGCCAGCTAATGGTCTCCACGGGAGTGGCTAATCGCACCTTTTCCTCACTCAGATTCTCGATGAGAAGTTTCGTTAAAGAGCTGTAGCCGGACTTGAAGAGCAAATGTTCCGGTCCACCAACATACTACATGAAAATAATTCTTAGAGCACTTATATATATTATTAACACACATTGATTATAACTAAGTTTACCTTAAACTTGCCCCACAGACTCGCTGATAAATCGTCCAACGAATGGCAGCAGTTATCCACCAGGAGAAATCGTACGTTCCAATCGAATATCTCTTCCATCTTCTTCCGCGTCAGAGAATCGTTTCTTTCGCGTAAATATTCCTCGAACCTACATCTCATGATTGAACCGATGGTCTCGTATTTCTTTAAAGGCCACCGAGATTCGCAGATATCATCAGAGACGGTTCGTAAAAGATCGTCAATCTCGTGAATCAGGTTCTCGTTCATTATCGTTCCGTCGTCGCGCAAGAAGATTCCTTCGCCATCTGTGCCTTGAATGTTTGATAGTAAATTATTGTCGAGACAATATTGCGCCAATTTGCTCTTGTCGCCGTGCAAGAATTGCGCCCCGCAATCTATCCAATCGTTATTCCATGAAACAGAATGAATTCTTCCTCCAACTACATCTTGCGCTGTGAAATAATATGACAGGATAATTTGGAAAATTTTATTTGTTTTATTTTCATTTTTTGATATATATCCAGAATGATTTCTCCCTTTTTAAACTCGTACATTTTTATTTATTTAATAAATTGTATGTCTCTAGAAGTGAATTAAATTTTACTAAAATTTTAACACAAATGTGCAGATGTACCTTCAAGAAGAAGGTAATCCGTAAATTTTGCATCCTCTAGAGTCTTTGCCGCTGCCAATCCTGCAATCCCCGCACCTACTATCACGACTCTCGTTCTCTCTGTTTTTCTTGCGTCCGCATCTATTTGCACCGCTTCGTTGAAGTTGTTAACCAGTTGGTCTAAATCATTGCGCGTTCTACGCCATCCGAAGCAGTTCATCAAATCTCAGGTGAACCACCGTTTACTCTTTTTTTCTATGATTTTAATTCTCTAATTTATATATACAAATATATATAAATACAAATACCATTCTACTACATATATAATTAATATAAGTATATTATTCATATTTGAAATATTCTTAGTGCTGTATATAATAGTATAAAAACGCAAATAATAATAAATTAAATAATAATAAACGCGGATAATAAATAATTATAAAAAATATTCCTGTACAATGACAGGATAACATATATCTCTTATATTTTTTAAATTTTATCACAATTTACAATATCAAAATTTTTTATATGTTATTATATACAAATGTTTGTACACTTTGTAAATAAATGTGCTGGTTTTTGTATTATTATAAATATTCGTCTATTACGAACATCATTGATTATACATTTATAGTTTTCCACAATCCATTCGTTAGGAGAATGTAGTAGTAGAGGATGCAGTTAGAGATGCAACTTTAACCGCCTAAGAAAAAGCATGCAATAAATATAAAAATAATTGTGCAAAATTTGAAACTAAACCAACAAATTCAAGATAATGTTCGTTCCATTAAGTTTAAAAATAAAGTACATGTAATAAAAATATTGACAAGTAATATAATATAATGTAATATAAAATCCTTAAACATTGATAGTGAAAATCAAACTTTACTGAACAGAGCAATTCCTTTTATACTCAATCTTATCAAAATGGAAAAATTCAGTCAACACAGCGAAAAAATGTTAGAAGAGCTCCAACAACAGAGATAAAAGAAAAACCACACTTTAGTAATTAATATTATTTTACCTTTCATAAGCAATTAATCGATCTGCTTCGCGGAAACCAGTTCCCACCGCACCATGCACAGTAGAATAATAATGATCATGTGTAGCTTCTCCAGCGAAAAGGATTACCTAATATGATGATTATATTGTTTTGTCAATGTCAATAAAGTTTCTCTTATTATTAGTTACATAAGACAGAAATACATCATAGGATAAGCTAAGAATAAAAGAACACGAGTGTTATATTGAGTGTTATGATATTAAAATAAAAAATTAACAGAAGATGAAAGAATTAAATAATCTCAAATATTAATAATCAAAAATGTTTGCTTTTTTGTACATACAGGTTTATTTCCATCCATCATGATTGGCTCGGCCAAATCTTTCGGTCTTACATCCATTTGTTCGGAAATCGTGCTTTGAAAGGTATATGACCCATGAAAATGCTCATCGCTGTACCATTTGGATCTAAAGTTAAAAAGAGATATTAATATGCATCTGAGTAATATTTTTCTTCAAAATTTTCCGTAATTAGTTTTGAGAAATTACCTCAATATTTTTGTTGGCTTTACAACATCATAATATTTTCCGAGCGATCTTTTTAACAATAGATACAATCCATCGAACACGTCAACGTCCGATAAAGTTTCCATGTATCTCGCATTTTTCCCGACGATCCAGGCGCATAAAATATTCGGCTGGTAAACTACAGTAAGAAACGAAAACACGTCGCAAAGCCATTCGCTGCTCTAAAACAAATATTTGACGAGATTAATGCATTAATGCAATAATAGCAAAAATATATTGAAAATTATTTTTATTGATAAATAAATGTTCGTTAAACTTATTAGATATGATTATGTTTAAATATCTACTTACTTGACCACAAGTTTCCAGGAATTCCTTTTTGTCCTCTTCTGGCCAAATAATATCGAAGCTGGCCATATCCTCTGGCCACCATCTATATGGAAATTCAAGGAAAACCTTATTTGTTGTTCCGATATTTAATCCCTGTGATGAGGAATGACGTTAATTAACATTCACCTTAGGACATATCCAATTTTATTTTACATTATACTTGTTAATGACATTTTTATTTTACCGTTATCGCGCGTTGTTTTTTCTGCGGTAGTGGAGGCACAAACATCGTAGAATGTTTCTCCTTCAAAACACCCAGAGACCCAGTGAATATAACATGCGATGCGAAATATTCGCATCCGTCTCTGGTGGTCACTGTAACATCCTCGCCAGAACTGTAGTTGATAGTTGTCACAACTTTTTCGAATTCTATCTTCTCCATGACTGGTAAGTATTCCTCTGGTTGGAATCTGTCTGGAATCTTTTTCTGGAATAAAATAATTAATATACTTAATGAAATAATTAATAGAAAATATGTATCTCGATAAAGATTTATTTAAATATTAATTTCATTCTTAAATATCATAAAATTTTAAGCTTTATTTATTGTTTGTAATTCTCTATTTCTTTATTTATTTTATTCTTGAATTAATCCTATCTTTTTGTGCAAATTAATTTTAAAAGATAATATTTTATTTTTGGCAAAATACATTTTTTATTTCATTAAAACTTTGTTTTTATATATGTTATTACCAATAATAGATCAAAGAGCGTTTTGTAACCACGATCTTTCCAATTCAGCACGGAGTTGCCTTCGCATTCCCAGTATTCTGTCAAACGTTTCGCGGAAGTATCGAACCATGTGTCGCTGCATTCTATAGAATTTTCCATTTTTTCCATCCAAGATAAATATTCGGCAGCTCGAACAGGACTTGCAAAAGGCTTCTCGTTAAAAATCTTATAATATCTGTAACGAATAATAATTATATTATCATTATTAATATTAATGTATATTGATATTCGGTTTGTCCACAGTAGAAATATTTCATTCTAGAATTAAATTAAATATCTTTTTTTTTAGATCTGTTTATCTTGTCTACTTGTCTTGTTTTTTTTTTTGTTATATCTTAACTAACAAAAATTAGTTGAACAATGAAATCTGTTGAAATATTATAAGCAACTTTTGTTAAATAAATGCAGAAAATTTATCGTGTTTTTTTGCGATTCAAATCATGGGCGGGTAGGCATTAAGCGTGATTCATCATCAACCTTGTACTAAGTTGTGGTGGGGAGGCATTGACCAGCATTCACTATCACCAACAACATATGGCAATCATCTTGTCACGTGAAGGAAATGTAATTTATTCCTTCAACTACAAGTGATATATTTTTGATAGTTTTAAATATTTTAACCATGCAAATATATATATAATGCATTTACATGGTCTTTACAATCTATTGCAGAACAAATCATAGTAAAAATGAAACAAAATCCTTTTAATTTTTCATGACAAACCCTTATTAATAAAATTCAGTAAAACGTAACAAAATGTTTGCAAAAAGGTAACAACAAACTCTCTCGATATTTTGGTATTAATATTGTTTTAATTTTTTTCTTATTATCTCAAGAGAGAAGATTGTATTCCAATAATATTACATATTGTGAATTATGATCAATAAGGAATATATAATTTCAGAAAAATAGATCCAGAACTAGAGAAGTTAAGAAACGAAGTACAGGGACCACCAAATTTAGATACAATCATTTTGAACATTCAAAAAGTGTCATCGCGCATTCACGCTGCATACTTATTCGAGCATATTGGTAAGGCTACACTGCAGAAACTATGCTTGTTGCTGAGCTCCACAGCGACAGGGAAAATCTACGATGGCTGGCAAGAGTTCGCAGCACACATGGGCTTAACAATGGAGCAGATACGTGTAAGATTATCAGAAATCTGACAGTTGTAATAAGTATGCATAAATACATATATGCCAAATTGGGTGTGTATGTATATATTACTATAATAATTGTGATATTATTTTATTGTTCAGTGTATAGATTACGATTTCAAGGGTCTTCAGGATCCAACATACTATGTGCTTCTGACTTATGTGCAATCTCCGGAAGCAACAATGGACAAAATTTTTAATGCTTTGCAAAAGATGCAACGACTTGATATAATAAATGAAATTAAGGATTATGTGTACGATCTAGTCGATGTTCTGTCACAATGTGCCATGAGTGAAGGTGAAGTAGACAATAGCGACGTTCTTTTATTCTGGTATTAAGAAATGAATTATAAGCCTAGTCAAATTTGGATACTGACTAAAAAATATATAATAATTATATTTCATTATATTAATTATTTGTTGTGTATATTTAGGATCTGAAATAATTCAACCTGGATATCTACCAAAAGCACCATTAGTTCTGAGTCCTATTTTAATAACAAGAGAATGCGAAACCGGAACAAAAGAAAATGCATTAAAATGTACACCACGAGATATTCAGCAGAAGGTTGCTCTACTTGCAATTTCCAAAAATTTAGTAACAAAGCAAGCTTTTAAATTAAAATATTTGTTATTATTACCAATTATATAAAATGCAATTATAATTTCTTTTTATTTCAGCATACTAAACAGAGCTATGGCTGCATAGTTATGCTAACTTTTGCGGACGATGGTTTATCAACCGTGGAGTGTATCACAAAGATATTTAGATCCAAGCAACCCCGAATCGGCGTGCTTATATTGCAAGAGCAAGAGAAAGGCGTTTACAGTCAAGCTGAAGAATTTATAGATGATTGCTTTAAACAGGTAATTTAATTTAATTTTAATTAAAGTAAAGTCATATATAAAATTGAAATCAAAAAATAAATTTTTTTAACCAAATTTATAAAGTATTGATTGTACCAATTAATATTACATCATAAATTTTTCTACTTTAAGGTCGATTATATTATACCAATACTAACAAGAGGATACATTGAGAGAATAAATAATCTTGCAAAAACGTACGAACAGATATATAATAATTTGGATGAAAAATACTTGAAATACATATATTCCTTATTGAGATATGAATATGTGAAAAATCAATGTTGCAATAATCGCGTGAGGTGCGTATATATAAGATTTTGATAATAAACTAGTGAATAATAAATTTTTAATATATAAATTTTTGGTAGAATATCATTTCTATTTGTTTACGACTAATATGAAAAACAAACAAATGCCTTTGTTGATTTTTTGTTTCTCTTATCAGATGTATTGTTCCCGATAAGGATGTTTACACGGTCGTCCGAGCAAATCTACATCCCACATTGCAAGCGTGGTTTCGCGAAAGTGATATCGATGCTTTTGTTAATAATATTCTCTTCCATAAATTTTGATGTGAAAATCGACGAAAGTGCTTAGAATATAATAAAAATTTTATAAGTGGCCCTTAATAATTCATACTTTTGTAAAACATCTCATATAGCTTATTATGGTAATATTGATATTTTTATATTAACAAAAAATAAAAGAATATTGTGTTTATCTCTTAAATAATTCTTTTAATTGATTCATATTGCACTCAATTATTTAATTTTGACCAAGAATATAATTACTCACTCTTTTATGAAATAATTCCCAAAAGATCCTGTTTCCTCTTTAAGTTTTTCCTGTGCATTATTTATAATATCAAAAAAAATCATCATAGCCTCACTGCTTTCGTCCTTAGGTATCATTTCACCATTGCTGGCAGCAAAATTATGTTTGGTGGGATCAAATAGATTGGAAAATGAGCCCAACAAATTGTGCTTGGAAGCCAACTCAAATACTATATTTCCAGATTCACCATGGACCCATTGAGCTCCGAGGTCCACCACATTTTCACCTGGAAAAATGAAATAGTATTTAAATTTAAAATTTTTGTAAGTATATTCAAATTTTTAAAGATGCAAATAAAAAATTATTTTGCTTAAAAAATAGAGAATAGTTAAGAATATAATTGTAGAAAGCCAAATTTTTCTTCTGATGAATTACGAATAAAAAAGAGATTATTTACCAAAGTTCACAGTATGTATTCTGCCACCAATTCTATTGTTAGCTTCCAGTATAACAAAATCGTCCATTCCTTGCTGTAATAGCTTGGAGGCAGCTGCAATACCAGCTGCACCTGCTCCAACAATTATAGTCTTTGTTTTCTTCGACATTTTGCAGCCTCCCGATTAATCTTGCACTGAATAGTTTTGCTGCAATGATAAAGGCGTCTCTATATGCTGTTAGATGAATGATTGGAACATGAATGAGCTTAAATTGCCAAGCACAAGCTGATAACACACTAGATTGCTAAACCAATGGCTAAGAGAGATTATGATGTTATCTCAACATTAACAAAATGCATTAGCATTGCAATCTTCTTAAATGATTTTTACAGATCAAAGTTTGCGAAAAAAATATCATATATAAATAAAATTTGAATGTAGATTCCATATCATACGTTTACTTCTTTTTTAATTTCGAAAATTATTTCGAGTAATTTCACTATTATTTGGTTACATAAATTTAATCAATTTTATTTTAGCAAAAAATATATTATCGCAATTTTTTATTCAACATTTTATGTTCAAACTAAAGCTTTCTTTGCTGAGAATTCAAGATACGATCGTAAAATATGATATTGTGAGAAACGCACTTGCTAATTTTTGGTGGGATGATAAATGCTGGCGGACACACGTAAACAAAGCACAACAAAAAATAATAAATTATTTAAAAAAAAAAATTACTTATGGAAAACATCATTGCAAATTTAACAACCTTCGTTCTTCATGGATTGTAGGAATCGCTATACTAATACTACACGTGTTCACGTGTATAGAGTATAAACGACTGAATTGAACTGTCATGAACTTTATATATACACATGTAATGCCTAATATGATTGTGTTGTCGGCGATTGCATTCGAAAATCTAATTGTCAGGTGGAGCAGTATTTGATTAACCAATGAGAACAAACAGAATCCTTACTTCCTCTGTTCTGATTGGTCAATCAAACGCTACTTAATCTGACAAGAAGATTTTCGAACACAACTCGGCAT